AAACATTACTCTTGTCTTCAGGCATTAGCTAAGGCTAAGAGTGCACAAGAAAGAAGGAAAATTCTATTAAATTCATCGAAATGTATTTATTCTGTGATAATTGATATTACAAAACAAATTCTAGCGGGTAATATACCAATGAAAGCAAAAGATAAAGTAAAATTAAAAAGGTATAAGAATACATTACGTAAAATAAGTGGTAAAGTGTCAAGTTTACAGAAAAAGAATATAATTGTTCAGAAAGGAGGTTTTTTACCATTACTGATAAAACCAACATTAACAATTCTAGCATCTCTTGTGGCAAATAAATTGATGGAAAAATGAATGCGATTACAAGAATGTACCTTGTTTCAGAAGATCAATATAAACGTAATGTTTTGAGACCAAGTACAACAAGGAAGATACTAGCTAAAAACTTACCAACAGAAACAAAAGTGAAATTTATAAATAATATATTAGCAAGAAATCAAGATAATTTCTACCAACCAGAACCATTGGCATTCGCCGATCCTCTTGTTGAACCATATCAACAACCAGAAATAGAACAAGAGGAGTATGAAGTAGAACCTGATGTGAAAGAAAGTGACGAGCAGAGTTCATTTACAATAAATGACCCAGTAGCATTTAGTACACCTTTAACGAGTAAACAGTTGGTAGAGAAAACACCACTTCAACTAAATACACAAAGTCCAAAAAACGCTTCGGAAGGTTTTAAAAGTCACGACAATGCTTTAGAATTGATCTTGAGAAGTATAGAGGGTCTTGTTGGTCCTGACAACCTAATAATTGATGATCATGGTAGACCTTTTATTAGAAGTAATGTTAAACATATTGTTGAGTATCTAAGAAGTAACCCTAAAGGACGAGCACCAGATGGATACCCTAGAGTAGTCCGTGCATTAATAAATAGACCTGATGCAAAGAAATTTATTATAAACAGTAGAGCATTGAAGACAATTAATTCACCATCATGGAAGAAACTATTTTCACCAAGTTAAAGGACATTTATTATAATCCTAAATCCCCCGGGTCGTTCGGCAGTGTGAAAAAGTTATACAAAATAGCTAAAGAACAGTTGCCCGAGTTAAAGTATAAAGATACTGAGAAATGGATGTATGATCAAGACGCATATACATTGTTTCGTCAAACAAATAAAAAATTCCCGAGATTACCCATTTTAGTTGATAGAATAGACGAACAATGGCAAGCTGATCTAATGGATATGACTTGGGTCGCTAAAGAAAATGGAAACAAAAAGTATATACTTGTGATAATTGACTGTCTTAGTAGGTATGCATGGGCAGTAGCAGTTGGTGATAAGTCAGCTAAAACAATGATTGAATCATTCAAACATGTAATAGAAAAAAGTAATCGTAAACCTGAAAAATTACAAACTGATCAAGGAAAAGAGTTTGTTAATAGGTTTTTAAAAGAATATTTGAATGGATTAAATATAAATCATTTTACAGCAACAGATGGAACTATCAAGTGTGCAATTGTTGAGAGATTCAATCGAACACTTAGAAGTAGAATTTATCGTTATTTTTACTACAAGGAAACTCACAAGTATATCGATGTACTCGATGAAATAATTGAGGGATATAATTCATCGTATCATCGAATTATAAAGATGTCACCTCAAGAAGCCTTGAATGATCCACATACAGCTAAAAGTAACATCTTCAAAGCTCAGAAAAAGAATAAAAAGAAACAAAAACCATTTAAAATTGGAGATGAAGTAAGAATAACTACAAATAAATTGATATTTGAAAAAGATGCAACTAAAAAATGGAACGAAGAGGTATTCAAGATTGTTAAAGTCAAACACACACCACAAGGATACATTTACCGTTTGGTTGACTGGGGAGATGAACCAATAACATCAATTTTCTACCACGATGAATTGTTCCCATCAAAGTACCCTGATTTGTATAAGACCACTGTATTGAAAACAAGGATAAATCCAAAGACGAGAAAGAAGGAATACTTTGTAAAGTATAGAGGTTACCCGGATAAGTTTAACGCTTGGGTTGATCATGTCGAGAATGTCAAGTGAATTTGTTGTTGATGTTATTTCAAATGCAAGTATGGATATTTATAAAAACAATACATTATCTGAATTTACAAATCGTTTACCACAAAAATTGATTCTTGATGGTGATTGGGTGGTAGCAGTACAAGAGATAATTTACCCACTTTCACATAAAGGAAATAAACGAACAGTCAAATGGGTCTTCAATCAAAATGAGTCGTTCAAAAGGGGTAACATTCAGAGAAATAAATTTGAATTTGAGTATATTGAAACGGACAATATTGTCAAAATAATTGAAGGATTTAATAAAAGTATGGCGGAAGGGTATGAGATTGATAATCCAAGCTTAGAGGATGATGAATTAAGACCTCCAATCATGTCACTTAGGAAAGTCAACGAAGATGGTAAAGAGAAGGACAAAATTTTCTTTCAACTTGGAAGATTACCAAATTCAATTCATCCAGTTTTTCCTCTATGTGATGACCAATCTTTTATGAGACTTCTCGGATTTGATGTGTATGCATTACCGAGAAAAATTGCCGAAGCATTTAAGAACAAGAGTTTCTCATTGATTGCACCTTATCAGCCGGATATTGGACCTAAAGGTCATTTAGTTTTCATTTGTACGGATATAATTCATGAACATTTAGTTGGTGATACAAATGCTCGAGTGCTTAGAGTTATTCCTTTGAATAAGAACATTGGTGATAATTTACACCATATGACATTTACAACACCCTACTATTATGATGTTAGAAAGAATGAAATTGATGAAATTAGTATAAGGATTGTTGATGAAAGTGGTGATAATATAAAATTTAAATCAGGAAGAGTCTTTTTAAGTTTACATTTTAAAAGAAAATGAATCGTAAAGTTTACTGTGCATGTGATAGTGATTTTTCACATCATTACCAACAACAAGCTGGTGCTGGTATATCTGACATTTCCGTTTTTCGAGGTCAACCATACCAGAGAGGATATGGATTAGGATCTGTTTTTACTCGATTTGGTGTCCCAATTTTAAAATTTCTAGCTAAACAATTTGTTAAAACTGGTATAAATGTGGGTAATGATTACCTGACTGGTACTAATTTTAAAACTTCCTTGAAAACTCATGGAAAACGAGGTATAAGAACTGCAGCAAAAGAAGGATTAAGTAAATTATCTGAGCTTGTCGATCAGACTGGTAGTGGTATAAGAAGACGTAAAAGAAAAAGAAAAGTAACCTTAACACAGACAAAGAAGAAGAAGAAAAAGGATATTTTTTCATGATGGAATATCTTCACGAAGCATCTCTTCCAGCGAGTAAATCAGAGTTGCAAGTATTTTCAATACCACCGACTCAAACGGCGATTGAAAGCAGTTATGAAGTTGAGTATCGTCCTAGTGCAAGTCTTGAGTCAAACAACTTTTATGAAATCAATGTTCCAGCAAGTGAAGATTTTACAGACTTGGCATCTACCATGTTACATATTCATCTTTCTGTTACTACTAAAAAGGGTGAAACTCTTACAACAGCCAATAAAGTTAAAGCGGTTAAGGATTTTGGCAATGCATTGTTTGAACAAATTGATTTATCTATTGGTTCGGTTAATACTGTTCAAGCAAATAATACCTACCATTATCAAGCTTATTTGGAAGACTTGTTCTTTAGGCACCCTAATCAGGTTGATTCAGGTTTTGAGGTGTCTGAGGAATCCCTACGAGCTCCTTTTGATCTTTATTTTAGGTTACATTCGCCACTGTGTGAACAGGACAAACTTTTAATTAACGGGGTACCTCTAACATTTAGATTCACAAAAAGTCCGGAAGGATTTCCTCTAATCCGAGCTGATGATGATACATCAGAATATAAAATTAAATTTGAAAGATTTGCTCTTCATATTAAAAGAGTAAAGTTATTCCCGGAAGCTCAAAAAAGCATCATTTCCGGATTGGAAAAAGGTCCAGCTAAATATTTCATTACAAGAAATGACGTCAAGTCTTTTTCTATTCCATCCGGGCAATCATCAGCTTCCTTTGAAAATGTATATAATGGCATTTTACCAAGACGTGTATTGATTGGACTTGTTAAAGATGTGGCCCAGGATCAAAATATAAGTGTTGACCCATTCGAATTCAAGCATTTCAATACAAACTTTGTCGCCTTTACAGTTGATGGGACAATGATCCCATCAATTCCATATACACCTAACTACAAGTCTAAATATTACATGAGAGAATTTATCAACCTTTACCGGTTTTTCAATCAAGATGAGGGAGTTCCCCAATTAAATATTAAATATACTGAATATCCGGATAAAAACGCTTTGTATGCATTTGATCTTTCTCCCGATGGATCAATTGGCGCTGAAAACGGTACCTTGTCCCTTATAAAAAGAGGCAATATAAGACTTGATTTAAAGTTTTCTGAGAAACTGGAATCATCAGTTAAAGTGATTGTTTTTGGTCAGTTTGATAATCTCATTACAATTGACAAAGAAAGAAACATTGCCTTGGACTATTAGAAATGGCTATAACAACCTTACAAATTATAAATGTGCTCAAAGACTTGCCTTGGTTTGATGGTGTTTATCCCTTGGACAGATTACCGGTAACTCTCTCACAACATAAGGGAATAATCATCAACCTGGATGAACATGATAAAGAAGGAACCCATTGGGTGGCCCTTTACTTGGACAGAAATAAAATCGCCCATTACTTTGACTCTTTTGGAAGAGCACCGCAAGGCTCTATTTTGACTTTTATTGAAAGAGTATCCCGCTATTATTTATTTAATCCTACCAAATACCAAGGCAATTTATCTGTAGCCTGTGGTTATTTTTGTATTCTTTTTATTTTATCAGTTCATGAACTTAATAACTTTTACAAGTTATTCCGAGCTTGTAAACATATTCAAAATGAAATTGTATTGATCAATATGTTGAAAATTCATTTAATGGATTAATAAAGTTATTTTTAAATTTATTTACAATGTTTCATTTGATTTATGATGACCATAAGCATAACTATTAATTTTATCATTTAAAAGAAATCTCTTATCATCAAATGGTGATAAAGCTATTTTGTTTTGTTTAATTAAACTAATTTGATGATTTCGTGACCCTAATCTTGTTACATTTTCACTATGTACATTCTCATCAAATAAACACCTAACATAATCATCATAATCAATTTTATTCTTCAATGTTGACCTCTGAACTCCTTTGGCCACTTTCTTGGTACCATCATCAGTCTTGAAAGCATAGAGCTTTGGTTTGATCCCAATGAATTCATGAATTGGCTTTCCACCCATTTCATCCTTCAAGTAACCAATCTTTCGGTGATTATCAGTTGAATAGAGGGGACTGGAAGGGTCATAATTGGAAAAGTCCATGATTTCCAACAATGATTGAAAATCTTGTGTCAAGTTATCAGTTTCAACTTCATAGATGAGAGAATCAGTATCAGTGTAAATCAACTGAATCTTATCATTGAAATGATTCTTGAACTTATCATAATGTAATTCATACATTTTTAATTTAGCAAGTTCAAGAATTGAGAATCCTACTGATATTGGCTTGTTCATGACAACTCTTGCTTTTTTAATCTGAACCAGAGCCAAATTATCGTTCAAGATCAAGAACCGTTCACAAAGCTCTTTTCTCAGTTGGAAGTTGGCTCTACTAGGTGTATCAACTGCAACTACATTGAGATGATTCCTTACATTTTCAATAGTTTTCCCATAAAGAGCATTAACATTCAGCTTCCAAAAGTTACTGTCAGCAGTGTTGGTAGCTAATTGTCTCTGTACAGTACAGAAATCAACATATGTCTTGAGCCAGACCTCTTGGTAGAAGGTGATAACACGATGGAGTTTTGTTATTAACATTCCCTTTTCCTTGTAGAACTTTAAAGTTCGATAATGAAGAACCATTTTCTCCTTTTTATAAAATGTAGTCATTAATTTTGGTGTTGGTCGATATTTAACACCTTGTGATTCAACATTCACAAGAAGTGACTTTTGGTAATCACTCAGCTCTTCCCTTGTGATCTCTCTCCTTTCTGGTGCAAGAGGGTAATCATTATGTAGATCGTGAATCTCTGGAGGATACTCTAGATCTACTTCAACAAAGAAACCATAATCATTGTCATCTGGTGTTGATAAAATATCATCTAATAATGTATCTGATGAATTAATGTCAACCCACTTAAATCCTCTAACAGGTAATCTTTGAGTCATTGCATACCCATAAAGGTTATTCACATCCAAGTAAATAATGTGAGTTTGTGGCTTTGATGGATCATAATTGGGAACTTGGGGATTATTAGCGACAACATGTCTCTTGCTGACCATAGTTAATCCTCCTCTGATCCCTTTTTCAATCATCATCAACATGTCCAGATTAGAAAACAAAGTGAGGTTGATGCAAGTTGTTTTAAGTGCTGCAGCCCATGTTAAGCCTGGTGCTGACCAATGATGAGGTGGATCAATGTTGAAAAATTCAATACTTGTCCCCCTGAAATTTTCAAACACTGCAGCAAGTAAATAAACATCAACCTTTAGGTAAATATCATGGAAATCACCTAATGATTGACAATTGAATTTGGTCCAAATTTCATTCAAATGATCATACACTTCTTGATTTATATTTGAATCAGTCAATGTAGAGTAAAATTTTTCGATGGGAGGTAATGATGTTTCACTGAACCTCTCATGTGAATCCAGATACTCATATGGAAGAGATCCTTTCTTCAATAACAGTGAAACATCTCCTGGAAACGCCTGTTTAATAAATTTTTCTTTTTTATCCACATTTAATTGGGATGAAAGTGTATCCAAACTAGATGGTAAAAATGCCAAACTATCAATGAACTTGAATCTATCCAGTTGAAATCCAATATACTTTTCAATTGTATGTGCGAGGATGGTCGGTGGCCTGTTGAACATTCCACTTTCTAGGGCTTTGATAATGATGTGACCATCAAAGTTTTTCAAATTATGGAAAACCACAGGAACATCTTTGGGTACTTGGTAATTAATATTACATTCCTGATGGGCCGCTCCTCTGAATTTACCGGTTAGATGATCATGATCACGAACAATTGTACCTTTACCGAGTACTCGCAAACAAATGTGACAATACTTTGAATTACGCATTATCAGTTCATCATTTGGTGTCATATTTACGTTGGGGAAAGTATTGTCTTTGAAGTATTGATCAAGAAATGGTTGCAAATTTAACAATTCTCTAAGGAAAACAAGAGCCACATCATTTCCACGATAAAATTTTGAATGGATCACTTCTTGTCTCCAGTTAACCACAATCAAACCAAAACTACATGGTTCATTAAGTTTAATTTCACCAGTAACATTAGCTGTTGGAATTGACAGAGTTTCAAAGTCACCGTAAATCATAAAAGGATGCTTTGACTCTTTGTTGTATTTATTACGACAGATGTGAAGATATTCACCACTTGGCATTGATACACGTTGTGGGTCGACTTTTTTACAAAACTCAAGATGATCACTTAGTTTTTGTCTTTCTCGAAAATGATAGAGACATCTTGGACAGCAGTAAGCGTGATTTTTACCTCGCACAAAAGATTCAAGACGAGTGATTGTATGAAAATGTTCATTGTACAAAAATAAGTTTACATGTTTAGAACATTCATCTTTGACTACTTTGAGTGGAATCACAATTTTATCCTCTTCATCAAATGTATAAACATTCACTGAGATGTTATTTCTCTTCTCAAATCGAGAAATTTGGTGTAATTCGACTATGCCACGAACCATAGAAAAATCATACCTATCAATAAGGTCACTATATCTCGATGTTCGTTCAGCATGATCCAGCGGATGAAGACCAGCTAATACACTATACATGAAACAATCAGTTATACATTTAACAGTTCGTATGGACTTTGTCTTCTTCATCAACTCTGTTGGAAGAGGATGTTGCATGCAACCACCTTTAATTGGTCTGAACTTTAAGATGCGAAGTTCAATTGTATCAATTTTTATCAGACGCCATCCACTTCCTCTTTGAGAATATTCATCTATTTGAGACTCTAATCCATGGAGAGAATCAGTAACTAAATTGATAATATCATCGGCCTGCATCAAAGTTGTTAACCTTGTCCAGATGTAGTCCATTTTTGTACAATTCCTTCATTACCATTATCTTTCTCAAAGATCATATGTAAACAGAAATGGAATTTTATCAACTTTTTAACCAATAGTTCATGAGATAATACCCTTATTATTTCATTAAACATTACATTGATTAAGGTACTGACATCATAAACTGAAGAGAGAACACATCTATAAACAGCAAATGTATTTTCAATCGCGGTCGCCATTAGTTCGAATTTGTTTGATGGTAAGAGTAAAGACACTGTCTTCATCTTTTTAACTGGTTCATCTTTTTGCACTGAGGCACGTTTGACAGAAGGTCGGTCTTGAATGATCTTGGGTTGATAATCATCTTCTTCTGCTGGTAATGGTAATGGTGATGGTAATGGTGATGGTAATGGTGATGGTAATGGTGATGGTGATGTAATGTTGACAGATGGTAATGGTAATGGTGATGGTGATGGTGATGGTGATGGTGGTGATACAAGATCAATAAAATCCGGTATCTTTCAATAATTGTAGTTAATTTATTAGTACCAGCAAACTTGATAACTGAAGTGGGTACTCCGGTAACAGGTAAGATTGATTGTTCATTCTCTACTTGTGTATCCTGTAATAAATCATCAATATCCTCCAATGATATTTGTTGTAATGTTGATTGTTGACCCAGCTCTTCACAAAATTGACTGAATAGAGCATCAACTTGAGAAATGACGGAGACGACTGTGGCACTGGTTGATTGTTGATCACTTGGGGAATCATCTCAGACAGTTGAGCGAATAAGTGATCAATGTTTGACGATAATTGATCGTTCAAAGATGGTACTGTTGATGAAGTTAACTGTGGTAACTGTTGCGGTGAATCGGTTGTATGAACACATCACTCATCCTACAAACACTGTAGGAACACTGACATTGATGAGATAAATAATCACCTAAAGTGAAAGACCTGAGGTCACAACAAGGACAAGTAAAACCCTGTAAAGAAAGATAATTAGTTAACTGAAATAAAAGATGATAACAATAGGTTGGTTTCATTTCTTCATTTCTCTTTAATTTTTATACTTTTCTCGATTTATGAAAATACATGTTTGAATTATTTTCATGTTTCCTAGAAAGAGTAAGATAATAATTGGCCTTTCCATATATACTAGGAACATATCTGGACATTTTCCAGCTTGTTCAATATAATAAAGACCCAACTCGTGGTTAGTCATAGCTGCTCGCTGAGTATATGCAGCTCTTCTTCCAGATAAGCCATCTTAGCTCGAAGGTTACCTTCACTGATGGCTTTCTGACGTCTTTTCCTTTTATTCTCCTTCTTCTTCTGGTTCTTGGTGAGTCGATTTGATGATTCCTGGAGAGAGAGAAACAAGAGAAATGAAGAGAAACGATACCCTAGTTGATAAGGACTTACCATTTTAATAATTAACAGATGTGATGTAACAGGAGAAAGGTAAATGTTTATCGTATTGTGGTAACAATAGACTTACTTTGATTGATAAGAAATGGAGAGAAAAATCTTTTACTTATATACAACTATTGATATACAAGATTTACAGTATACTTTTAGAACTGAATTTTTGGTGTGAAAATTGAATTTATCATGATGAAAACATCATCAGATAGGTTCAGTATAGTTTGAAATATAATTATTTATGTTCAGAATTGGATTCTGGTAACTCAGTCATGATACATGGAAATTTAGGAAAATCTCAATTCTGATTGGTTGTTGAGATCAAAGGATACCGCTAACGATTTTCTCACGTCAATTTAACATGTAAAACGTTCAATTATTACATCATTTCCAGGAAAAAAATTCGCTCCCATAGACTTAACATTGGCCGTAACATTGAAGGATTTGCGCCCGGAAGGGGGTGGGGCTTAGAGGTCAACCAATATTTTTTTCTAATGTTTCTCGATGAGCTCTATCGATTGACATCTCATGTCTCTAGCACTTATACTTGCTGAGATAATTTCTTTGTCACGTGAAAAAAGTTTCTAAGACCTCTAGCCTTTAAGCCTTTGACCTGAGAAAGATAAAAATAGGCGCATTTGGCACTTTTTTTTCCTCCTCTATCCAATGATACCAACCATGATGCTCTAGCACCAATAGAAAAAAGGGAAAAGGGGAAAATTAAAAACTTTTTGCCTTTGACCTTACAAACTTGGTTTATAGTTCATAGGCTTTGGTTGTTTGCGGATTTGTTCCTGATTTTTTTAGAATTTTAACACCCACCCCTTGGATTATCATGAAAATCATTTTCCCCATAGGACCCATGTTAAAAATTTAACCCCAATTAGCACCCAGATAGAGTAATTAACATGTCATTTCCTTAAAGGGCATCAGATTAATCCCATTGGTCAATTAGATTATCATCATCTTAATCTTCAAACGGTTTTAGATCAGTTTAGATTAACCCATAATCTTATCAGTTTTAATCTATTTGTTTAATTGACTTCATTTTAATTTGTTCTAAATAAAATCAATGAGTCTTTTGTACGACTTAATTGAAACCCGCCTCATCATTAGTGAAACCATAACCGACCCTGAACGGAGAAGTTTTGTGACCAACTTCCTCGAAAGGGTTTCACGGGTAATCGATGATGTCGAGGAAATGGAAATTGAGTTGCGTTCCTTCACCACCACCACCACCATCAGTATCATCTCCACCACCACCGCCACCATCACCAGTTCCTTCTACATCATCATCATCATCCTTGGTGATCTCTCAATCTTTACAGATTCATCTGTAAATAAACAGATAGAAACAATTAGTGATGCTCTGATGAGCATGAATTCTCTCTTACCATCCTTGTTCAGGATAATAAATCCATAAATGAAAACTTAACATGTTGGACTTAAGAGTCCGTGATGTTAACATCTCCGAAGTGTGTGTGGAGGAATGCCAGGACATAACCGCCGGCAACGAGCTCAACATTTGGCCCTGGTCGAATTTTTAACACCATACGTGAGGATATGGTAAATCGAGCTCAATTCGCCACGAAAACAACCGATCGGAATTTTCATCTTAAAAGAATTGGTCATTACCTTCGATCGGTGCAACGATTACCTCCTGAAAGAGTTGAACCGATTGCCGGTCACCCAAATATTTAGTCTTTGGTTTAGCAATTGCTGTTTTTTTTTTTTATCATTCCTTTAATTGCTCAATAAACAAAAAGTTTGTAATTTATGCAAAATACATCATCAAAAATAAGATTAAATAAATGTAAACGTTTGCAAAAATTACTCATACCAATAACAAAATTAATTAACGAGAAAAAAAGTTGCAAAAAGAAAGAGAAATAAAATTCACTTTAATTGAGTTAAAATCAGAAAAAAATTTCACCCAAATCGGGTTAAAATTGTTACCACCGGAAGTGGGGATGCACCTGAAAGTACTTCCAACCACTGGCTGAAGTTCCCACCGGAAGTACTGGTTGCAACCACTTTGGTCAGTTTCTCCCACTTCCGGGAGAAAATCCAGTTTCCGGGTGCATCATCCGATTTCTTTACTACTGTTATTGGTCAAATTTACCTTCAAAGTATTGAGAGAGAGCGATGATAATGATGATGAAAAGTATGATGATTGATGATATCGATTGTTAAGTCTCTTCTTCCAAAAATCGAGAGACAAAATGATAATCCACCTCTCCCACTTATCCACTTCCCTTTTACTCACTTTTTTTTTTTTTAATGTTTTGCTCTATTTTCTTGTTCTCGAAAAAGTCTTCAAGAATTGTCTCTAAATCATTGATGGTAAATTGTTGAAGTAGAAGAAACTAAGTCACAACAATTTTATGGTTAAAAGAACACGAACATCATGATGATGATGATGATGATCATCTTCTTCTTCTTTTGGTGATCATGATTGGTTTCCACTCTCCATCAACCATTTTCATCATCATCTCGATTGCGTGATGAGATTTTTCCTCCTCTATTATCGTCAACATTATCTTTCAACAGCTTGTTAAACAACAGGATAATCACGGATTGATAGATTGGTGTGGTTAATCTGTGTTAGTTAATTTCTATTCAGTGTTCAGAGAATCAGTTGATTAAAATGATGTTTGTTTTATTACGAGAAGAAAATAATTAATCATCTGATCCAAGTTTTTGGGTGGAAAAGGAAAATTCAAATTTCCAAACAGTTTAACCTTTAATCAGAATCAGCAATCTAATGATTTATTATAATCAATGATCAGTTTGTTCAGCTAATATACGATAATCTATTAAATTAAATTACTCTTTTCAAATCAGGTAAGTGGGAGGAAGTTTATTGTTATTAACAAGATATTGAGCTTTTATTAAATTATATCTGTAAAGTTAATGTTTAAATTGTTTACTAATAGTTAAAAGTGAAGGCAAATTCATTCACAAAACTAATGATAATCATAAAGTGAAATTAACATACACACACACTCACACTAACCAGCAATTTACACAGACAATTAACACCAATTTATCACCATGACCAGTTGGGTGTTGATAGCGCAATTAGTTTAATCAACCTGATGATGAACATGATTAACTAATATTACATTGAAAGATTAGTTGTGAAAACAAACCTTAATCATAATCCATTAGACCTTCAAGTACCATTGACAATAGATATTCATTGCTCGGCACGTGGTAACGCGTGTTAACAAAACAACAAAGGTGTAACCAGGCATTAAGAGTCTGTTGAAAGGAGGATGATGAGGATGATAAAGATGATTAAAAAGATGAGAGAGATTAAATATACTCTAATCTTTTGTATTCCAATTGTGGTTATACTTTCCATCACTTTCCCTTTGACTTTCATATCTTTCTCTCTCTCTCATCTTCAACTTTCTTTAAAGAAACCTTTGCAAATGAAGATGAAGATGATAACAGATGATGATGATGATGAGGATAATATCTTCATCTTAATCATCATTAGATTTTCTGACCAATCTTATCAACCGCAAGTTTTAATAGCTTCTTGTGGCCAATGAATATGTAACAATAGTGAATTAAAATATGATTCAAAGCAAAATATT